GGACCATTGGAGGCACTGACTTTCCTTCTGAAACAAAAGATAGTTCTAGGCCAGAGTTCCAGTCTAGTGGTGAGCCAGTGTGAAGGCTGACGGGTGGAGCATCCCTCAGGTGGGGTCGGGGTAAGCCTCCTCCACCCACCATCACAGAGCTATTGGGAGCAGAAGCCTGTCCAGTGCCAAGCCACATCCAAGCCTTCGGAGGGCAGAGAGTGGCAGAGGCTGCCCTGTCAAAGAGCTTCCTGGCTGGAAAGCTCCAAGAAGAGCAGGTGGACTTCCAGACGGACCGGCTCCCACCCTGTGCCATGTCTGCTGAACCTGGGATTTTACACAGGTTCACTGCTACCCTGAAATGCTGGCCCACCTAGTTTCTCAGGCAACCACCTCCTAACCCTCTTCCTCTACTTGTTCCGCATCCTCACACCCCACGGTGGCATGACGTTTGCGACTGCTTGTTCTCCTTCATGTTGTTTAAATTCAAACTGTATCCTGTGTAGGCCCCAGAGAACTGGGGACATCCAGCAACTACTAAGCTAAGAGACTGACCACTCAGGCATCATTCCTAATGAGCCCTAAGACAACACCTGGGGCCACCAGGCCTCCTTACATAGCCACAGTTTTATAAAAATCCTTGGGAGTTGGGAAGTTCTTACTGAGGCTGAAGAAGGAATCAGTAGCTGCCAAGAGCTGTGCTTACAGGTATGGCCTCCTGTATTGGCTTTTGGGGATTTTTTTTTTTTTTTTTGCACTTGCTCTGCCTACAGAGGGTACCACCTCGGTTCCCTCAGTACCGTGACAGCAATGACCAGCAGTAATGTAAATATGGCGCTAAATACCAGTCTCTCTCATCATCCCTCTAGCCACCCTGAGGGTACCAACATGGTCTGCTATGGCACACAGATGAACACAGGGTGCCGCAGATTAAGTAACAGGCTCCCTCTGCCCCTTGCAATTGGCAAGTGCCACAGCGCATCTCGGTATCGGCTGGTGGGTCCTCTCCTCCACATGGCTAATCTTTGGTAGTGAAGAAGCTGGGTGAGACTGTCATCCATCTGAACCACAGTTTAGGACCCTTTGGCTGATTTTGGGAACCTGTGTGGCCCTAGGACCTGAGTCCAGTACCAACTTTGGGGCCATGTCAGTGAGTTTCATTCAGGTCCATGCAACATGTGCTCATATCTGGAGGCTGGGGTACATTTCTGCCTTAGCAGGGTGTTGGTCTTATCCTCAATTCTGCCTCAAGGGAACCCCAAAACTGTCCAGTCTTTAGAGGGCTGGGCTTGGCTCTGGCTTTGAATCAACCCTCCCTTTAGCCTTTCCCTCCTGGACCTGTTTGGAGAGAGTTTTGTTGGCATGGGGCGGGGGGGGGGTGTCTGTGATCCATTCCTCTGAGAACCAAACGAAGTGGGGAAACAGGTTCAACAAAAGCAGAAGAAAAGCAGGCAGGTGTGGAGGAACCTCACACTACATGGAGTGGTTTGAGCTGGGTGAAAAAAGCAGGTTTCGTGTGGTTGGGGGAAGGTGGGGAGAGCTGGCTTGATGGGGAAGGTGAGGCGCATCTGAAGCAAACTGGTAGAGAGCACAGGTCCCTGAGTCACCCTCACATGCCACCAGCCTGTCTTTTTCTTTCACAAGGAGGTGGCTGTGCTGGGCCAAGGAGAGGAGAGGTACCTCATGAGAATTTGGAAGGCGCTCCTACTACGTCTCTAGATATCAGGGATGACCAGGAAGAAAGCAAAAGAACGCAAGTGTCCTGTCCTCCTGCCTTAACCCCTAAAGCATCACCAGAACACCCTGGAAAGGCCACAGCCTACCCAGGGACATGTCCACAGCTAGCCATGTCTCGGTGCTTCTCCAGTATGCTAACAGACTCCTGCACTGGCCCCTTGCTTTCCAGTTGCCCTGCCCAGCGGGCTGTCTCTGCAGCCCACAGGTTGGGGGATTCCAGTTGGGGTCTTTTGTAGGGGATGTGGGAGGGGGATCCAGGTCCACAACCAGGACTGGGGTTTTCGCTGGTCCAGGGCCGTAGCACCCACCTGGGTATTCAGGGAAGCAGATGGTCAGGGGCGACTTCTTAATCTTCTCGCCAAAGAGGTCTTTCTTGTTGAGGAAGAGAATGATGGAGGTATCGATGAAAAACTTGTTGTTACAGATGGAATCGAAGAGCATGAGAGACTCGTGCATGCGGTTCTGCAGCCCCGGTGGGGAGGGGAGAGAGCGAGACAGAAAGAGACACACAGAGACAGGGAAGAGAAGAAGAGAGTTAGGTGTGAAGAGAGACTGGGTTGTTCAGCACCCAGGAGGCCCTGGGCTCCAGGCTCCTCCGTGAGGTCAATGGATCAAACCTGTAGTTGGGAATGCATCACAGTGCATCTGATGCTAGCACGCCAAGCACTCACCATTCTGGGCCAGTGGGAGACTGATCTTGGAGCCGGCTGTGGCTCCGTGGATGAGACTGAGGTTAGGAGACCTAGGATCAGAATGGCAGAGCCCCAAGCTGTGTGATTGTCTCCCTAGAATGTGTGTGAGCACAGTGTGGGACTGGAGTCAGGGAGCTGGGCTTTCACTTTGGCCCCCTTATCTTCTGCACAGTCAGGCCTCTCTCATGGGTTGACAGGTGGGAGGGTACATGCCAGGAAGATGGGGTGACTGCTACTAGCATCCCTGAAGGTGGCCACTTGCGAGGCCATTTTCAGGGATGGGGCAAATGTCTCCTCTTGCTGGGCTAAACCCAACCTACATGGCAGATAGGAATTACAATCTTGTATACAGAAACTTATACTGTCTCATATACAGAAACTTATGGCTGAATGGGATGGACACCCAGAATAAGGCCCGAGTTTCAGGAGAATGACCTTTCACCCCAGGTAAAGGCCAATTGTTTTACTTTAGAAGCCAAGCACATTCACCTGTTTCTCGCTATAGGGAGCCTGTTGCTCTGTTAGTGAACCTCTCTGCAGAGAGGTGTGGAGAGAGGTGCCTCTCCTAGTGTCCCAGGTAGTCTGTTCTGGTTTTGGGAAGCTTGACACCCGAGTCTGAACTCAAGCTCTGAGAAATCCACACTAGATCTCTGGCAAGTAACAGAAGGGCAGAACGAGTGTGGATGTTGCTGGACACTGCTGAGGCTCGTGGACCCGGGGCAAACAAGAGCAAGAGCTGGGTTACCTGCAGGCCTCGTGGCCATTCTGCCTTCCTGCCTAAGCAGGAGCTAAGATGACAGAGTGACAACTGCTGTCCTTGTGCTGGCACCATGCTCAGCACTCTACCTGCCTAAGGTCCTTCAGCTCATCAACCTGTAGGGGGTCAGTAGCTGTGACTGAAGAGCAGAGAGCAGTGTTGGGAGATGTGACTCAGTAGGCAGAGTGCTTGCCTAGCATGTTGGAGGCTCTGGGTTCCATCCCGTGCTCTGCAAGCAAATGTAAACCAGAGCAGACATGCACCGGGCCCTGAGCTCCACCCAGAGCTTCTTGGGCCGTTTTTCCAGTTAGTGTGGTAATCTGGGCCTTTCAAAGTCATCAGTGTCATGGCTGGCTCCATGCCTTAGGGCCAGCCCTGCCTTCCATCATCTCTCCCAGCCTGGGAACTCTGTTCTTCGGGCTGACAGTAATGTGGGGTTCACAGCCCGAGTTCTCAGCTGCTTCCCACATCCCCTGGACAACAGGAAAACATAGTGCCCCCTTGTATCTGCAGCAAATTACTGTCCTTGATTCTGCTAAGCAAATCCAGTGACATTCATTCTTATTCTCCAATAAAGCCTCCCTGTCCCCTGCACAGGACTCACGTGCCATCTTGGTGGACTCTGCTCAGAGAGGTGCGCCATGTGGACCTGTGTTCAGGACCTAGCATTGTGATACTTGCAACAAATACGACAGCCGGAAAGCTTTGAGACTCCAAGGTTTCAACAGGAAAACATCCTACAGGGTCACCATGGCCTATAGCTGCCAATGCAAAACCTCAACCATTGCACATTGTCCCAAGAGTTACTGAGTCTCCAGGTGGTGGTGGACACAATACAGACATTTGGGATGCTAAGGACCAGAGAGAAATCACAGAGGGGTCACCAGAGTTGTTCAAGCTAATATTGGGGGCCACCTGCTATGGACAGGGCTGAAGGACTCCTCAAGGGTTGATATGCCTAGGTTTGGAAGACTCAAGAGCAATTCACCAAGGTTCCTGGATTCCCACCTGCTGAGTCTCGGCCCACACAGTTCCTACCCCCCACACTGCAGTCCACTTTTAGGTCAGTGGTATCTTGTGCATTAACAAAGTCTGAGGTCCTGAGAGCAGCATGAATTAGCCGAGATTCTGGCGTCAATGGACATACACGGAACTGCTCTGAGGGATGGGGCATGCAGTAGGGCTGGACAGAGCTCCGGGAGGGCGGTGAAAAGGGAAGCTGCTGGGGGAGCGCCGGTACTGAGACCCTCTCCATGCTCAGCCTGACAGCCCCCCCTCAGGAGCCCATGACCAACATGCCTGGAGTACAACAGCTTGTACTCACAGGAGGAAACAGACGCCAGGTACATTCAGAGCAGACATCACCAAAACTGAGAAAAGAGAAGTTAGGGACCACAGATGGCCAACAGCCACCTGCCTGCCATTGCTTTCTCACGGAGCCACTGGAGTCTTCCCGAGGCTCAATTCCTCCCAGTCCTCCACCTGCCCAGGTGGCAGCAGAGCTGAGAACAGAAGGAAGCCATGTCACAATGACCAGCACCCAGCACCAGATCAGGAGCCTTGGTCCTAAGCATCTTGAGACACCAGGTGTTAGGGCGCTAGGACCCTGGGAAGCAGCTCAGCACAGGACGGATCCACCTCTGCCTCACAACAAGGCTGGAGTGAGCAGGGTGGCCAGTGGCCTGAATCCCACTCCCAGTAGTGCTGTGCCTACTCTGCTAGTCCGCCTGCCCGCAGTCCCGACACTGGGGAGAACAGAAGAACCGGTTGCGTAGGTTTATCTGGCAGAAGCTCCTCGGCACTGACACAATACATCACACTGGTGCTAGAAAGAGCTGGCACTTTTTATTAATGGTGGGTGACTAATAAATACATTATGGCAGCCAATAAATTATTACAGTAACTAGGTATTTATTAAATCAGCAAGCCACTCTTCTTACAAAATGACAGTTAATGAGGGTAGGTGATGGCAATGGGTCAGGAGGTGGGGCCACTGCACCTAAGGCTCTGCTAAGGGGAAAAGAGGGTACCCGGCCTGTGGCCTGGGACTGGAAAGTGCGCATAGGCCACATGGGCCAAGTCAGAAGTCAGGGAGAAGACGGGGAAGTGGGGGGCTGCTGCCCACGCAGGGCAGGCAGCTGTGGTTGGTGCAGGAAGCTAAAGGGGAGCAGGGAGTGGGCAGAGAGCTGCTGGGAGGAGCAGTGTATCTGCTGGTGGCCTTTCGTGCCTGGGGAAGAGAAGAAAGCTGCCCTTCACAGGGTAGTCTGCTCCCACTAGTGGGCTCAGGACTGTGGATAAAGGCCATTATTTCTGTTTCCTTCCACCGGTTCCTGCCTTGACACGGCCATCATCTGGCATGGTCTCTAAGGCCAACCCCACTCTCTAAGCAGGTGTGCATAAGGCTCTTCTTACCGAGGGGTGGGGTTTGGGGGAGGCCTGCTTACACTCTGGGTCCTGTTCTTCGAGACGCTGGGCCTTTCTTTTTCTAGCTTGTAGCCTGTTGATCCTGTCAGGAAGGATCTTGCCTCCAGTTGTCCAGATTGAATCTCCATCAAGAGCTGTGGGGCTGGCCCTGAAGCTTATCAGCTAGAAGATTCCCTGCACCTTCAGAATCCTCAGAAGAGGGTGGCAGGCTACGACTGGGTGAGGGCGGGATGAGATCTGGAGGCTTCATGAGTCTCTCCTGTGTGTGGTAGGTTTCCTTGTCAAGAGGCTGGGTCAGATGGAGAAGGGGAGGGGGTCAGGAAGAGAGAGAAGCCTGCCCTCAGGGTAACGGCTGTAGCATGCAGTGTCGGGGAACCATGGGCACATCGGTTGCAGCAGTACTTTCTGCAGAAGCCTGTGGATAGCTAGGTTGTGGGGTTCAGGACACTCAGTGATAATCAGTGCAGTCCACACAGGTCAGGTGCCTTCAGTTCCTAACAGCAGGTATGGGCCTGGGCTAGGAGGCCGAGACGATGGAGGGCTTTTGCCTGGTCCAAGAGGATCCGAAAGGACAGGGCACCGGGATCTAGGGACTCTACAGAAGGGATCACGGGAGGCTTAAGGCCAGAGCTACTGGGGAGTGGCTTAGACTGGGAGGAGTCTATCTTCATCTCCAAACCAGAGTTCAATACAGCACCCTCCGCAACTCAGACCAAAGACTTGGGGGGGGGGCTCTACCCATGTTTAAAGGGAAGATTCTTGGAATGGTCACGGATACAGGCTCAGGACTGGCCCATGGGCGTCTAGGCAAGAGGCATGGTTCCACGAATGTGGTGAAGGCACTCTTCCTGGGAACTGGCTCCTGGCCTGCTGAGTGAGAGCATTCAGAAACTGCAGGACGATCCCTGACATGGCCACTACACATAAGAGACATTGCCCTGGTCTGGCCACTTACAACGCTTCCCCCGCACCCAGTACGACGACGGAGCCAAGCCTCATCTCTTATCCACATTTTCCCCCCATGGTAGAGCCACTGGTGATGACACAGAAGGGAGGTGGACACTTTTCCCTGTGGACCATGTTCTTGAGGGCCTACAGTAGATGGCCTAAGACCGCCCTCTCTGGAATGCCTGGAGTGGGAGGCCCAAGAGCAGAGCAAGACACAAACAGGAGTGGGGAGTCTAGGCCGGCCCTGGCCCCGCTGAGGGCTCTGGCTACTGCACTGCAATGATCTGAAGGGGTTGCTCGGGAAGTGGGAACTGTGTGGTTATAGGAATGGTGACTTCTACCTCCCCGGAAGTGGTCTTAAAAGATGGGGCTTGACCAAAATCCCTTGATTGCAGGTGTTTTTAAATTTGGAATTACAGTCTGGGGACACAGGTGGTCACCCACAGTGGAGCCAATGACTTAATCGGCCTTAGGCACCACATCAGGTCACTGAGACTGTGGGCTCCAGGAATCTGTTCTCTGCCATCTTCCAGTTCCCGGCACAAGGTTCTCAAACGACGGCGGTGTGCACAATGTGGGTTGAGGGGGAGTGGCAAGGCAGTCAAACTGGGGTGTGCTTCCTAGAGGATCACCCCTGCAAGCATTTGGCACTGGGGAAGGTCCCCTGGACCACCAGAGTTCTGTTCTTGTTGGAACCAACAAGCCCAGAGCTGATGGCATGGCCAGGGGGACTGGGAAAGAGAGCCAGGGTCCTGCCTGGCCTGGGGCTGAGCACTGTTCAGAGTGGAGGTCAGGAGAACACAGGGCTTGAGGAAGGCAGAGACCCTTCTAGGTTAGACCTTTCCTCACTGCTCTGTGGACACATTGGCACCTCCAGGTACAGCCAGTGCCATGAGCACACAAGCCTGTCTCAACCACTGGCCATGGTAGCAGCTGATAGGAGATGTCAAGGAATGACAGGAAAATGTTCTGACTGTCCAAAGTCAGCCAAGGCGAGGGCTGCCAAAACAATTCCTCCCCTTTTCTTAGGAACTTCTGCAGTAAAGTCCCTCCCTGGGCTCCTCGGGCTCTTCCCCCCAGGGGGCAGGGTGTATGTCTGAGTTGGTTTGTACTCCTCCTAAGCTCACACTCCAGGGCACTGTAGGCTCATCGCTTGCTTTCTACCCTGAGAGCAGGACTATACCAAGGGTTTCCTGCCTTCTTCACCACGGTGGAGTAAAGCAAGGCATTGGCTTCAGGGCTCAGTCTCCTGTGCTTGCCTGAAGAGCTTCCAGTCCCAAGCGTGCCTACTCTGGCTGTGACTTGAAGAAAAGGGCAGCTGAGCCTGTCTGAGCAGAACCAGCAGATGGGTCTTTCAGGACTTAAATCAACCTGTGCAAGGAAGAGCTGCCTTCCCCCTCATCTTTCCTCCCCACCCAAACTTCTGGGCACAGGTCTTGTTTCCCCACCGAGGCTCTTTCGTAGTTGGCCAGTCTTAAGGAATAATCCCAGGTTCTGAAGAGTCCAGGGGCAAGGGAAGATGGCAGAGAAGGGCCAAGATCCAAGGTGAATGAGGAGGGAAGCCCTCCCCAACATCTGAATCTTTGCACCCTAAAAGTGGCCTGATTATATGTTGATGTTTGGTAACAGAACTGCCCTCTACCAAACAGACCCTAAGGAAAGCTGAGAGACGGCATCTACTATCCCCTAATCAGCCAGCACCTGTCATAGGGCCATCCTGCAAGCCACCCTATCACCTAGGTGAAAAGGAGACACAGATACAGCACATGACCATTCTGAACCAGAGGGCAGCGTAGCTCACTCAGGCTCGGAGTAAAACACTTAAGAGACTTGGTTGGCCGGCGAGCAACATCCAGGTGGTGGGCAGTATTTCCTGGCCTTGTGTGTGGTGCTCCACACCTCTGCCCAACCCTGTTCCCATGTGTCATGCAGTCAGAGTAGGGTAGGGTGGGGATGCTCAAAGGATGCTGCCTCCTCCCCCAGGGACAGCCTCTGGGATTTTCTTCAGTGCACAGAGCATCCTAGCGGTGGCAGAGCTCTGGATCCAGGGGAGAAGTGAGCAGCAGGCTGGGCAGGAGGCCAGGGCTCAGTAGAGTCCACAGCCCCTCAGATTTTTGGCGATGATGACGTCCGTCACAGCATCAAAGACAAACTGGATGTTGTTGGTGTCCGTGGCACAGGTGACATGGGTGTAGATTTCCTTGTGAGCTGATTTATTCTTACTCTCATACTGCCCCTGGATGTGAGCCACAGCTTCTGTGAAGGCACTGGGGCCTGCAAGACGAAACAGTGGGTGAGGGGACTCAGCTGACGGAGGTACCCTGGAGTCGCTCAGCACGGGATCCCTGGGCTGGCCATTGTGTCACTTAGGCCAGTGGCCATGGAGCAGGTGCCAGAATCCTCCTCAGGGCCACTAGAAAGCAACAGCCTATATACGGAGTGGGAAGCTTTAGGGCTCAACTCCAGCAACAGTGGTTCATGCCGACCAGCTGGCGGTTGGAACCTAGAGCAGCAATCTCCCTAGGAAGCAACAGACACCGCCATCCCAGTGACCGGCTGACTGAGGTGGGGGCTGCCTGCGACGCTGCTGTTTCCTCCCCACAGGCCTACTGACTCCAGATGCAAATTCTGCCTTGCCACAAGTTGCAGGTGGGACAGAAAGCACTGCTTTTAAGCAGGCATGGCCTCTCTATGCGCCCGTCAGTCTGCAGAAAGGGCCAGAACCCGCTTGAAACTGCAAGTAAGGTAGGAGGACCATGCATTCTGCCTGGCATCTGTGAGCCTCTGTGGGCTCCTCCCCTTCTTGATGCTGCCCTCTGTTCCCTCTCAGCACAACTGAAAACTGACTTGCTCATAGTGCTCTGGTTCCCTGGTAAGTCCAGGGAGAGCACACTGGCTTGAAGAAGGATAGAAAGGCAGAACTTCAACTCTGCATGGAAACCCTCCACGCCCCTGGCGCCCTCCCCCCATCTTCTAAGCACTCAAGGTGAGCCTAGACCAGACTGGGACCATTTGCTAATGGAGGAACATGAAGAGAACTGGAATTGGAGCCACAGTGCAGAGCTGGGGGTGGCACATCTGAAGGGAGAGTCCCAGCCACCTCAGGCATAAGTGCGTAGACCGCAGCCTGGCCATGAGCATCTACAGACCATAGCTGTTTGCTAAGCCAGGGCTGGAAGTAAGGCTAGTGTCCTCTCAGTTAGGGTCCCTTCCTGCCTTGACCTAGTTCCAGTTGATCTTAGTGACTAGCCCTCAAGGGTGTATCACAGGCCATCTTACAGCTGGAGAAGAATTTGGCTGAATGGTGAAGGGGCTAAGTCCTATTCTCCTCAGTTAAAAGCTCTTGGGGTTCTTGCCTACAGAATGACCAGTCTGATTTTGAGAAACGAAGGGCAGGGTGTAGAACGCTATGCTGCTTGCCTGACTTCAGACCATGACCCCACAGGCCCATGCTGCTAGAATCTATATCTTCTGTTCTATGTCCTCCAGGACCTGCTGAACCGAGAACAACTGACAAAGACTGGGTTGTCCTGGGCTCACAACAGCCCACCTGACAGGGCTGTCAATCTTGAAGCTCCTCGGGAGCCCTGGTTAGGTTGCATATCTGGCTCTCTAGCTCAGATCACCGTAACACTGACAGTTGGCCTATTGACCCTGCACTTTCTGCAGCACAGGCAAGGTCCTGCTGCTGGTCAGGTTCTACCTCGCCAATGGGCTATGACAGTCTTGTGGCCACTTGTGCCATTAGAATGGCTGTCAATCATCGTGATCATAGACGTGACAACAGATCTGTAGTGATCACAGACTTGGAGCACGTACCAAGCTTTGCATAGCCATGGGCATCTATAAGGATGCTTATAGGAGACCTACAGGGAGTGGGGAGATAGCCACTGTGACAGCCCCCATCCCATGGTTAGAGAAGTCAATCTAAAGAGGCTATGTGACCTGCCTAGGTCACTCTCCAGGGGCTAAGTTGGGACTGGATCCTGCTAGGCTACCTTACTCGAAGATCAGGTTTGTTGTCTCTTTGACATTGTGGGTTCCCAAGGTGCATGCACCTTCTGCTTATAGACGTGTGTCTGGAGCTCCCTAGGGTGGTTACTATTACCCTGGAGACTGAGATGAAACAAGCCAGGGCTCCAGGACCTAGCTGCCCAGGTCTTCTTGTCATAGCTGGCTCTAGTACAGTTCCTTGGGGTGGATTTTGCAGGCTGAGCTGGGTGCACTAAAGCACGGGAAAGGCCCAGAGAGACCTGGTTCCTTGACCGCCCGTAGCTGCAAGGGGCGGTGTGGACTGCGAAGGGCTCTACCTGTGTATTCAGGGAAGCAGATGGTCAATGGGGACTTCGTGATCTTCTCCTCAAATATGTCCTTCTTGTTGAGAAACAGGATGATGGATGTGTCTGTGAACCACTTGTTGTTGCAAATGCTGTCAAAAAGCTTCAGGGATTCATGCATGCGGTTCTGCAACAGAGCGGAGAGGCAGGTGAGGGCTGGTGGAACCAACACCCTGACCTACCGTGGCTATGACATAGCGAGACAAGCAGAGGGACGGGTCACCAATGCTCTTAATGCATTATTGGGGACAGAGACAGAGGGCCCACGAGAACAAACAGGACATGTCCCTGCTTCATTCCACACACAGGCAGGTTTGGGTGGAGCTGGGGTGGATCAGGAGTGCTGTCCCTTCCAGAGAAAGCTGGCCTGGGCGGGGCACTGAGGTCACTGCAGAGGCTGCAGTCCCTGGAGAGGACATGCACCATGCACATAGAGGGCAGGGGTGCAACCACCATCCAATATGTCTACACGAAACTGTGGATCATGCAGACTTCTCTACCATGGTCTCATTCATTTTTGCCAGCGAGGTCAGGAGGGTGCACGCATTCCATTGGATAACATTAACCGAGGACTGAGGTCCTCGAATTAATCCCGAGTTGGAAGCAGATGCCAGGGGGACAGCGTCTCAGGGGTGATGTTGCTGTGGCCTTGGTTGGTTGGGTGACTTTGTTGATTGACTGGGCTATGTGCTCTCTGGGAAAGCTGGGAGTTGGGGCTGGTTTCTCAGAAGAGGGGCCAGGAGAACCCCAAGAAGAAACTCAGCAAAACAGATTGAAACTGAGAGGAAGCTGAAACCCAGTAGAGGAGGAAAAAGAAACCCTGAAAAATTGATCCAATCAGTCTCAGACCCAGGAAGTGCAGGGCAGCTATGCGAGGCACCTACACAGGCCTCGGCTGCCTTGTGATGGGCAGGCGTGCAGCTGGGATGGATGGAAGGCTGTGTGGAGAGGGTGGCCTCAGCTCAGAAGCCAGCATGGAGCATAGGCCTGGGGCTGGCATTCACAGCAAAGTCACCCAGCGGGGCCCTGAGAACCTGCTGCTTTCAACTCTTAGCTCATGTTTGATCAGAGGGAAGTGCTTCATACCTGCCGGGCTTGGAGGGTCTCTCAGAATCTGCCCATGGTTTTGGCCTTGCTTTGGTAAGAAAAGGCCTTGCGGGTGCTGGTGGCAGTAGTGGTGAAGTTGTGGCAGCCTGTGGCCTGGCTGAGTGGCGCTGAGAGCAGGTACGAGGACAAGATGAGCCCGTGGGGTCCCAGGGTGCAGCGGGCAGGGTGGCTGGTCCGGTGTTGGGCAGCCACTAGCCGCAGGGCCTTCCTGGCCTAGCTCCGGGGGCTGTCTCCAGACATTTCTGTCTCTGTAGCCCCAGTTTTCCTCACCAGGCCAGGGAGGGAAGTGCAGAGTTGGCTAGAGGGGAAGACTGAGGACCAAGGACTGGGTCATTGGTGCCTACATCTTGCCTCTCTAGGGAAGAACATCCAAACTCTACCACCTGTCCTCTGGCTACAACATCTGGACAGAGGAGCAGAACTGCCCCATACTGAGTGGTGTCTGTGCAGACGCTACTTCAGTTCTTAGCCCATCATCACCCCACAGCACATGCCTGAGCATGGTGTGGCGATTACGCATGATCACGCAGGTGGCAGGCGTGATGCCAGGTCTTGGGCTGAATCCATCTGACTCCCAAGCTGTTCACTTCACACACATGTCCCCCACACAGTGACGACTGCTAGTTCCACAGTAATAGTATGGTTTGACTGGCACTATAGCTAGGAGCCACTGCTGTGGGCTGCTGGCAAGTTGGAAGGCAGCCCCTGTTCTCTGGAGGTTTGGTGCTTTCCCCTGGCTGCTGGGTGGCCAGCCTCGGGGAGGGAGAACTCTAGGAAGAGCACATTTCTGACTTTGGCCCATTTGTTTTTCCTTCCTCAGAGTTCTTGCCTCCAGCTTTGGTGGAGAAAAGCAAGGGAAATGGGGAATGAGCTGGAGGCAGGGGAAAGGCTAAGAGAGCAGTAAGGTTAGGAAGGACACTGGAGGGAAAGTGTATTGGTGCACAGGAGCAAGGCTGGTGAGGAGTTAAGGGGAAGCAGGTAGGGCCAACCACCCCGACTTGGAGACCTGAGGCCACAGGGCTTGGTACCCGTTGGACATTCCCTTGCAGCTGTGCTGTGCTCTGGAGATTACTGAGGGTCTGGCCCCACAGCTGATGGTCCTGGGCTTTTGCTCTGGCAGGTCAGGTTCAAAGGAGAAGCCATGCTCCAGTGTGAAGGATCTCCCACCATCCAGCCTCCACCTCCTTGATTCTTTTCCAATACTGGATATGATGTAGCACCTACTTGCAGAAGGACAGGCCACAGGGAGCAGGCACAATGGCTCTCATAACACAGAGGCACCCATGGTGGTGAAGAGTGTACTGGGCCAGTCATTCGGATGGATGCACTAACAGGAGAATGTCCTGGGCTTTGGGTAGTCACAGAGTCTGGAGTTGAAGAGTGTTCTAGGCCATGTTTTCCCCACCCGTACTGGGGCTTGGGACTAGACCACTGTCTGCCACAGTCACCCTGAGTGACAGCTCTGAACCCCAGCCATCACAAGAAGAGCCTGGACCACCCCTCCTACCAGCAGCTTGGCTTCCATCTGCCAAAAGTCTCATCATTCAGTGCAAACTACTTAGGACGACGGGTCCTCCTCTGCCAGCACTGTACCCCCTCAAGAGCTCATCCACCCCTTCCATAGACACCAGTAACGACGGGACCGGGACTGGTAAACAAATTGGACTCATAAGGAAGACAGTCCTTGTTTAAGGACAGCACAACCACAGGTCCCTCCTCTGACCCTTGGTGCAGATCCCAAAGGCTCAGGGTGAAGCACTCCTATTCCAGATAGGAAGGCAGATGCCAAAGTGTGAGTCCACAGCCATGAAACCCACTCTCAGAAGTGGGCTTGTCTCCCATGACCCAGTAGGATATACTTGAGGCCTCCTGGTCCCTTTCCAGGCTTTGTGGATAGGTCCACAGACTTGTGGGCTGAAACTCCAATGGGAAAAGCTCAGTGGATGTACCTGGCTCAGAGCAATACTATACTGGCTGGCCGGGCACTGTTAAGCAAAAACGCGTCCATGACCAGCAGCCTTAGACAAGAAAGGTGGTATTACTGTCCCTGCTTTTCAGACGACAGGAACCCAGCCGGAAAGGGTGCTGCCTGAATTTAGCTCATACCAATGAGCAGCAGAGACAGGATGAGGCCAAGGGGAAGACTGACAAGGACCCTCTCAAGCCAGGTGGCAGGTCTTAGAGGCCGAGAGTGACATAGAGAACCCACGCTTGACACTCCCAGTATGCCTGTTTCTTGGTGCCCCTCTTGGCCAGGTAGTCCCACACCTCTCCAGCTGGCCAGAATCCCAGGAAGGGCAGAAGAAGCTAAGGCTGCCTTTCCTGTTACACACATGCTCTTGCTTGGCTGCTGTCTGGCTTTGTAGGATTTCCTTAATATTTTTTTGGTCTGTCAGTCCTGTGTGACTCCACTGTTTACTAACAAGGTGCTTACTGGTCAAGACCCTGACATCGATAAGTTATCAGCAGCATATTTGAGTACAAACTCCACTGGGAGCCCCAGCGGCCTCTGTTGTACTGGCATGATGAGCATCTGCCTTGACAACACAGAATGTGCGAGGGCGTCTGCCAGAGGCCGTCTGTGAGGCCTGGGAACGCTGAATGCTGGCTTGTTCTGTGGCCAGCGCTCACTTCAGGTCACTCACCGTGGTTTCGTCCTCGTGGAGCACCTGGTCATAGCCGCTGAGTGCGACACAGAAGATGATGGCCGTGACATCCTCAAAGCAGTGGATCCACTTCTTGCGTTCAGATCGCTGGCCCCCAACGTCAAACAGCCTGTAGAAAGTCAAGGAGAGCTATGAGGGCGGGGATACCTGTTATCTAGTGGGAGACTGCTGAGCAATGGGGATGCAGTACCTCATTCTGAGCACCAACAGACTGACAGATGAGTCACTGCTACCCCTGGCCTGAAGGCGGCTTTCATTACCCCTGAGACCTGTCCCAGGACTGAATTTGAGCAAATACGGTGACTCAAAGACTTTACCTCTCTTCTAGATATACCTGATATCAAGAAACCACACCTGGAAGATAGTCCAGGGGTCACCAGGCCTTAGCCCATGTCTCTTGGGAGACAAAATCTCCCAGTAGGGCTCCAGGAACCTGGTAGACCAGTTCAAGCTCCTGTTCTTTGGCCCTCAGAGCCCCTGGATCCTACGTATGTTCTGTGCCTGGGAAAACCCCACTTCTGTAGGTTCTCTGTAATGTGAGAGGGGAGCTGCCCTCTCAGCCTCTCTGGCTTTGAGACTGTAGTGATGTTTGGACTTTCTTACCTGGTGCAGGCCTGCCCACCTGTCCCCTTCCAGGGTCTCTGAAGTAAGCCACCTGCTGTTTTTAGCCTTTAACCTCAGCAGAAAACAAGTTCTCAGATAGGCTTCTTCTGATATCTAGTTGTCTGATCAAATGAGGGAGATCCTCGAGGCAAGACACTACCTGACTATCCAGATGAGGTGAACCAGTGCATGGACATTCCCCCATCTCTCTGTCACATCACCAGGCCCAGCACTAGGGCCTGTCAGCAGGCCCCATCTCCTTAGGCCTCACCTGAAGTGGAGGTTCTTGAATGTGAAGTGGGTTTCTACGATGCCGGTGGTTTTGACCCTGGTTCGGAGGATGTCCTGCTCAGTGGGCTGGTAGTCAGCGGCTCCAATCCGATCCAGGCTGTCCAGGTAGCTGGGGATGACAGCATACAAGAGTCCATGAACCTGGACCCTGCTCACTATCTCTGAAATCCAGTATCTGCCATAGCTTTTGCAAGGTTGACTGTGGAGCACTTAGTCAATGCGGGGACAACCAAAGGAGAACTTGAGGGTCTTAGTCTCTAAGGTCCTCAGATTCACTCACAGCAGCAAGGTGTGTAGACCCAGCTACCCTGGGCTGAGACTTGCCAATGAGACTGCCAGGATCACAGCACAGTTCTATCTTCATTTGAAAATAATAATGGCCAACAGGTATAATCTATTCTCTTTAAAATGTATTTATTTACTTTTATATTATGTGTATGGGTGTTTTGTCTGAATGTATGTCTGTGTACCACAGAGGCCAGAAGAAGGTTTCAGATGCCCTGGAACTGGAGTTAGACAGGTGTGAGATGCCAAGTAAGTACTGGAAGAACAGCTAGTGCTTCTAACTACTGAGCCGTCTCTCCAGTCCCCAGTTCCATTGTTTACATGTATTCATGTTCCATCAATGCTCCAGAACTTTCTTACTACTCTATGGTACTCTGAGTCTCTGTCTACCGTCCTGTACATCCTCTTGTTTACCAAGGTCTCTGTGCCTCTTCCCATTTGATGTTCTTGTCAGCGGGGACCAGGGGTCCATCTCGGCTGAGCAGTGGTAGGGCCTTCCTGGAACCCAGACCTTTGGAATTAGGATTCTCTCAATGGAAGGGAAGATAGGGAAGGCTCTGAGGGAGCAGAGTAGGTCAGTGGTATTGGGTCCACCCCACAGGTTCCTTCCGAAGGCCTGAGTGTATCTGGAAGGTTTTGCTTTCAGTCCTCTGTGCCTGGCTTTCCTCGTCCACAACTACCAACCAATTAGCCTCTTCTTTCAGGCTAATATCCTTGATGCTGCTGGACACCAGGCCTTTGTCTCACTATTCCTACCCAAGCTGGACAATGTCCTCTGAACATACAAGCCGGGCCCTGGTCTCATTTTGTGCTTGCTGAGTCTCACCAAGGCCTCCCTAACCATATATGCTGGTTGGGATTTTTCACCTTGACACAAACCTAGACTTATCTGGGAAGAGGGAATCTTAGTTAAGAAAATGGCTTCATAAGACTGGCCTGATTGATGACTGATGTGGTCTAAGGTGAAGAAGTGTTGTAACAGGCCAGAAGAGGGCACCAGATCTCATTACAGATGGTTGTGAGCCACCATGTGGTTGCTGGGAATTGAACTCAGGACCTTTGGAAGAGCAAGCAGTGTTCTTAACCACTGAGCCATCTCTCCAGCCCCCAAAAATGTGCAGCCCAGGCTGGCCTCGAACTCATGATCCTCCTGCCTCTGCCTCCTTCAGCAAATCCTACCGGCGTGTACCACCACAATCGGTGCATCATGGTTCTTGATTCATACTTGTGGCCTGGAGCTTTCTAGAAGAAACAAATCCTATCTGCTAGCCTGGAACCTTTCCGGTGGGTACAGATGTGGTCCCAGAGAGGTGGACCAGGTCCCTGCTCTCCAGAAACTGCCTGTGTGACTGTCTATTTGCTTTCTTCCTCCCCTGGCCTCTTCCTCATCCCGGGCACAAGAAGTCCCCTCCCTGATGGCATTAACCTACGTTTGGATCTCAGTCGGAATCTTCCCCATCTCGGTGCTCCAGCCCCCAGCCCGCCTGGGCACTTACTATTTGGCAGAATCGTTGAGCTGATACTCCCGAGATCGGTTGAAGCACTCCTGGATCCCTGAGTCACCCCAGAGTCGCATCATAGCAGAAAGCAGTTCTGCAGAGAAGGGTTCAGTGTCTTCCATACGGCTCACCACATCACACACCATCTTGGAATCCGCCTGCAAGGACAGAGGGACACACTGCTCTGAGACCTTGGGGCTTCTGATGTCGTCTCTACCAGGACAGCAGGCCAGTGCCAAGATTACACTCAGTCCCTGCCTGCTCCGGAGATGTGGGATCCTGGGAGCCTAGGGCTTTGGGCTTCATTTTCCTTTGAAGCTACTTTGCCTCATGAAAGTTCTAGAGCAACAAACCCCGTGGTCAGACTCAGCTCTCTACCCTTCTCTTCCCAAGAACTGCTCTCCTTCCAACTATCTGAAAAATGGGGCTTTTGCACAGGAATTGTGTGTGTGTGTGTGTGTGTTCTTTGGCTAGTTGTAATTTTCTATTTTCTTAATTGAGGGATGAGGGAACAAGTCCCTGAACCAGTCTCAATCTGGGAGAGGGTCATGGTTGGCTGAGGGATTGGACCCGGGTGGAGCTATACTTTACAAGTCCGTGAAGTTAATACAGATGTCAATACTGAATGAATCACAAGAACTCAGGCCCTTAAGATAAGTGCTTTATTTGGATCTTGCTGTGTAGCTCAAGCTGCCTTGATCTCATGATCTTATTGTGTTTTTATTTTATATTTTTTATTGATTTTTATTGAGCTCTACATTTTTCTCTGCTCCCCTCCCTGCCTCTTCCCTTCTCCCCTCAACCCTCCCCCAAGGTCCCCATGCTCCCAATTTACTCAGGAGATCTTGTCTTTTTCTACTTTCCATGTAGATTAGATCTATGTATGTCTCTCTCAGAGTCCTCATTGTTGTGTGTGGGTTTTTTTTTTTTAAATTTCTTTTTTCTTTCTTTCTTTCTTTCTTTTTTTTTTTTTTTTAAGGAAACAGACAGGTGCAGTGGAAGCGTGCTGGGCCCATGATCTTCTTTGTTATACCGTAAATTAACCTGTAATCCTCACCTGCCCGAGGAACAGGTAACTTCCTGGGATTCTGGGAATTGTAGTTCTTGAAAAATAACAGCCAAGCCTCATGGGAAAGTACAGTCTTTACAAGCCCTGACCACATGTGCTTTGAGGCCACCTAGCTGAATGTTGCAGGGAATGGTCCTGACCAAAGTCCATCTTGGTTAGTATTTAAACTTTAATATTATTAAACTTTAATAAAAACTTGTCTTAAATTTGGCCCCCAAATGGTGGAACTGTTTTTACTCCCTCGAATCTCAGGATTAACACTGATCTCAGCTCAGGGCTGAGATTACATGAATCTCATGTAATCATGGCATCCCATGAGTAATGCCACCACACCCAGCTTAAAGTTTAATTTTTTGCATTTGTACTTAATTGTCTGTGGTCTGTGGCTGTCAGGCCTACTAAGCAATCCAGGAGAGGTTAAAGAGACACTGGTACCCAAGCTCTCTCCTTCCTTCTGCTCTCTGTCTGAGGGGCATAGCTGACTGTGCTTTCGGCACACAAAGAGAGACTGGGACTCTTGACAGCTACAGGCAAAGTTCTGGGTAATTCCCAGGTTCTTTGGTTCCACTCCTCATCCAGGAAGGCTCCCTCGACTTCAGAGTTAAGAAGAATGCAGAGCAAGGGCAGGAACACTGTGGTCTCAATGGCTCTTGGGGAAGTCACAGGGCTGCATGCACCACTGCCATCACCTTGCACATGCAAGCAGCTTACAGCTTATGCAGGACTGCTGTGCACACACACACCCTGTGGAGACCTTCACAACCACCCGTGAGGAAGCTGTGTGAACAGCATGGCTGGCTGCTCCACTTTCCTGGGCTCTATCTATTCCCTCTGCCCTCCTCCCCTTGGGCAGAAGACACTTCCTGTCTCCCGAATCTGTGGCTACAGTGTTAGGAATTAGCAGGCTGCAAGGTCACTGGGTGGCTTTCCTCACCAGGACCTGCAACTGGGGATCTTGAACATTGGCCAGGAGAATGGAACCTGAGTTGAGTCTCTGGCCCTAGGTGGAGGAGACTTGGCCTTTTCAAGTGTTAAGTGTCATTAATAGATACCCATCTGCTAGTTCAGCATTGTGAAGCAGGCAGGTGGATCCAGGCCAGACAGGACCACACATCAAGACTCTGTCTGAGAGACAGATGTGGGACTGGGTAGAGAGGGATCTAACCTTGTAAGATTTAAAAGATTCCTATCCAGGAAGGCTTTCTGGTAAAGAACAAAGACCACTGTCTCCTCCCTTTGGAGTTACTCAAATGAGCCTGCTCATCATCTGGAAAGGCAGGACAATGCCCTTCCGGGGAGGCATCAGAAGTACCACGAAGCCTGTCTAAAATGTGGGTTACTACCACAGTCCCTATGGTCACTGCCCACTCACGCTGAGAGTGTTTCCCTTTATAATGAACCCTACCTGATATTCCTTTCTAAAAGGTGTTGTGGGAGTAACTTTCGCTGCCTCAACCAATAGTCGCTGAAATACGAGCCCACAGTGCAGTGGGGAGCGACTTCCGCTCTGTCAGCCAATAGCTGCTGAAATACCAGCCCACTGGGGCGTGGTATATTTCTCTTTTAAAAAGAGAAGCATATCCGGATCAGGCCCTCTTGGTTCCGGCTCTTGGTTCCGGTGCTTGCTCCTGGCTCCTGCTCCCGGCTCCTGCGACTAGGCTCCCTTCCTGACGGTTTATGGTGTATGTAAGTTTTACCCCCCAAAATAAATAACCCCTTAAAACATAACTGGTGTGGGATTGATTCGCCGATAAAAAGGTAGTATTTTACGTGTAAAGGTGTTTTGCCTATATGTATATCTGCACCATGTGCATGCAGTGCCTGCGGAGGCCAGAAGAAGGCACTAGATCCCCTGGAAGAACAGCCAGTGCTCCTAACCGCTGAGCCATCTCTCCAGGTCCTCATCTGTCTTGTGTACTGTACTCTGGGAGCCTCATTTGAGTTCTTTTAACAGAGGGAAATTCAGATAACAGGAGCTCCCTTTGGCTCACAGAATGACATGTGGGTGGCAGCGTGCGGATTCTCAGAGAGGCCTTGCCTGCTTTGGTTGGTTGCAGTGGACCTCTGCCATCACCACGAATGTGCCTGGGCTCCCGTTCACCCCAGCAGAGAACTTGGGATACATGTTTAGAGTGGAGCCCAAAGAGGGACCTCCTGAGCCAAGTAACTGAGTTTAGGGGGAGGGTTATTCCATGTGTCATTGTGGCATTTGGCAACATAGAACTTATGGGTATCAGTCAGGGCTACAGAGGTTAAGGGACCCAGTGCCACCACTTCCCTGCTTCTTTCTCAAGGTTGTATTCTGAGAGGTTTCGCATGGGCCAGGGGAGACGGGTCTTAGGGGATAAGCTTGTTCCATTTGAAAAATCCTGGCCTAACAATACATGTCACTAGAGGGCCAATGGAAGGAGCAGTGCAGGGTCAGAAGGGGAGCTGATAGGTTCAGCTAGGCTGTGTAGACTGTCCAGAATCTTGCCCTTATTTTAACCTGCACAGTTCTGCTTTGAGCCCTTTCAACAACAGCCTACCAAAGCCAGTGGAGAAACACTGTCCTGCTGGCTAGTTCAGAAAGAAGTGAGAGGTGCTGTCGGCAGCAGGCATCCTCTGTGGTGTGGGGAGACGCAGTAGGTCAATGCCTGGAGGGTTTGCGGCAAACGGAGGTTCTGCACAAAGGCTAAGCAGGGTTTTGGCTACCTGGAGACTTCTCCAGAGGCCTGCTGTCTGACTAGGTGGCTATTTACTTGTTACAGCCTGTCCACTGCCAAAGGTTTATGGGAAAGTTGTCAGCTGTGCTCTCCCCACTGCCTACTCCAGGAAGTGACCCTGGCAGGAAGGCCATGCCTACTATGTTAATCCAGACCCTGCTCTTTGAGAATAGTGTTCCAAACACCTGGGCCCCTGGGTTTCTAAGTCACCTCACCTGACAGGTAGGGTTGCCCAACTAAGGCGGCCCGATTTCCCAGGGTCTGGAAAAGTGGGTGAGTCTGGACTTTTGGTGCCCCAGGCAGCCAGAATGACTCAAGGAGGGGTAGGTGGAGAAGGGGGAAGGCAGCCTCCACCTGCAGCTAAAAACAGCTACGGGACCTGTGAGTCAGGGCCATGCTTCTGCTTGCTTGCTCTACCTGGCCTGGCTGCCCTTAGGGCATCTCGAGTTCTCTGGGTTGTCTTCCCAGCTGTGGGAAGTAGCCAGCTGACCTAGCTAGAGTTTGCTGACTTTCTCAACTCCCATCCCCCTAGGAACCGGTCAGTTCTGGGCAGTGACAGACCCAGAGCAGGGCGGGACTCAGGGTTCATGGTGCAGGCCAGACAAAGCTTCAGGGGTCAGAATCCTGCTCCAATCTGAGTGTCCAGATGACACAGAGGGTGTCAAGGGTGCACAGTGACTGTGTGGAGATAACCTGTGGGCCCCGTGAGGCCACTTTGTTCCTAGATGTGAGACATGGGATTTTATGGTTTCTATCCTGGAAGGCTTGCTTGGAGAGCTGTGCGGGGTGTGGTCCTGGGGTTCTCAGCACACATCTTTCCATGAAAGCTGAGAGGGAGGAGCCCATGCTAGTCCCCGTCTGCCCCTGTCCCTTAACCTCTCCCCTAGATGTGTGACATGACCATGCATGCTGCTCACTTGGCAGAGAATCCAGACTGAGGTCTCAGACAGCGGCTCCCATTCTTTCCCTGTGGCCTCAGTCTGGCTTCTCTGTAGTCCGTGGACCACACAGTCGGAGATCGTTAATCTCCCAACACCAGGACCCCCTTCTTCTTCAGAAAAAAAAAGACCCCAAAATTTTAGCTGGGCACAATGGCACATAACTAAAAAAGGCTGTGCATCTTAATAATTTAAGTAGTTAGGGTGATCATTGACAAATCACACAACAGATGTAGGCTCAAGTGTAACAAGGAAATATTTTAAAGAGAAGATCCAGGGCCGATGAGGTGGTTTAGTGGGTAAAGGCTCAATCCTGACAATCTGAGTTTGACCTCTGGGACCCACACTGTGGAAGGGGATTCCTACCCATGTTTTCTGATCTCCACACACATGATTAAGCCCCCCTTCCCTGCACACAAAATAAATAAGTAAATAAATAAATAATT